TCATTCAACTTATGTTATATATAATGGTCTCATACGGAATTATTGGTCATTCAGCTTATGTTATATATCATGGTCTCATATGGAATTATTGGTCATTCAGCTTATGTTATATATATAGTGGTCTCATACAGAATTATTGGTCATTCAGTTTGTTATATATAGTGGTCTTATACAGAATTATTGGTCATTCAGCTTATGTTATATGTAATGGTCTCATACAGAATTATTGATCATTCAGTTTGTTATATATAGTGGTCTCATACAGAATTATTCGTCATTCAGTTTGTTATATATAATGGTCTCATACAGAATTATTGATCATTCAGTTTGTTATATATAGTGGTCTCATACAGAATTATTCGTCATTCAGCTTATGTTATATATAGTGGTCTCATACAGTTGTATTTCAGCTGTTATTTTGATGTGTATGATTTTCATTATAATATTGCAGATTGTGGTGATTCTTTGTTTAGAGCAGTGTACATAATTGAGGACTTGAATTATGAATCAGACCAGTTTTAGATGAATGACACTTTGATCAGTTCAATACAAAATTAAGCTTGTCTTGAGGATCTTATATTATAAACCAGGCAGGTTTTAAAATAAAGTTATTTTGGATGGACTATGACAAATTTGGACTTGGCTTGATGGACTGTATATCACAAACCACTCAAGTTTTAAAAGAATGAAACTTTTAGCTGGATCACTACAAAATGAGGCTTGGACTGTAGGACCTTGTATTGTTCACCAGACAGTTTTTGTAATGCCAATATATCGGTCAAGCTCAATGAAATCTTATTCAAGATTTTCTATCTGATATGAAGTAATTTTTATATTGTTTCTAGACTACTTACCTATTTCAACACAAGTTATAAAAGACAAAAAAAAAAATAAGATTTCAACTGTTTGTAACAAAAATTTCAACAAGAATAACTTTGTGTGCTTATTTGATTCCATAAGTAATTTTTTTTTCTTCTACTTTTATGAGGCATGATCACCTTTTACAATCATACTGTAATGTTTTTTGTTCTTGGCAGATAAAATTTACAGGATTCCCAAAGAGTTTATTGTGTGGAGAAGTAATAAAATTGACTGTCCATCTGAGAAACGTTGGGCAACAATCTTTACGTCAACTTTTTGTTGCCTCAACGACACCTGAACTATTTTCATTTGGGACTTTGGACCACGAGGAAGACAACCCATCAAATTGGCAGGTTTACCATCAGACAAACAATCAATCTATGCACAGTGGACCAGTCATAGCAGAGTGGCCTAATATAGAAAGAGTGTCTCATCTTCTTCTGACAGATGAATGTTTGCAACCAGGACAAGATATTTCATTGCCACTTTGGGTTCGTGGGTCAGACCAGCCAGGAGAGCAACAACTGCACTTTTTGTTCTACTATGAACCATCTGAAACTGCCTTTAAATTAAAGTGAGAAATATTAGCAATTTTGTGTACAGTTTTTTTTTTAATATAAAGCTTCCTGTAAACTAAAGTATAAGAAAAGTAACAGCAATGAAGTTTAATAAATTAAAATTGTTTCAAATTTTGTATGGATATATGTTTTAAAAACATCCTATGAGTGATCTAATCAGCATCATTTCGAAAATAAGATAGTGTTTGTTTTTTTTCTTCTGATTTTATATTTTAACCCTTCAAGTACTGGATTGGTCCTTACCTAGCAACCAACATCA